AAGTTCTGTATTCACAAATCCCGTGGTTTCTAGTTAGCTGAAAAGTTCAACTTTGAGGCACTGGGGACTGATTGTCATTAGGGCAGTGTTTGAAGTCTCTGACTTAAGGTCTGGAAAAGTTTCCTTCTTCTCCTCTCTCCCCACCCCCTCCCTGCAAGGCTTTGGAGTGGTACTAAAAGGGAAGATAAAGAAAGGGATTTACACAAAAATTACTCTCAGAAAACCAACGTATTTTCCTCACAAAGCATAGAGGAACCTTATCCTTTAGGAATTCACAAGGGAGCAGAGCTGTGACATATTTTACTGACACCATGTCATTGTCTAATGTATATTTGAGTTTCTTTTTTTTTTTTTTGGCATGGGGCTTGAACTCTGGGCTTGGGTGCTGTCTCTCAGCTCTTCAGCTCAAGACTAGCGCTCTACCACTTGAGCCACAGCACCATTTCTGGTTTTCTGGTGGTTTATTGGAGCCGAGAGTCTCACAGGTTTTCCTGCCTGGGCTGGCTTTGAACGATGATCCTCAGATCTCAACCTCCTGAGTAGCTAGGATTACAGGCATGAACCAGTGGTGCCGGGCTACTATTTCTCTCTCTGTGTGTGTGTGTGTGTGTGTGTGTGTGTGTGTGTGTGTGTGCGCGCGCGCTAGTATTAGGGTTTGAACTCCGGATCTGGGCTCTGTCTTTTTGCTTTTTCATTCAAGGCTGGCACTCTACCATTTGAGTCACAACTCTACTTCTAGAATTTGATAGTGGATTGGAAATAAGAGTCTCACAGAATTTCCTGGCCAGGCTAATTTTGACTTGCAATACTCAGATATCAGCTTCCTGAATGGCTGGGACTAGAGGCATGAGCCCTGCTAATGAATTATTTGTCTAGTTTATTAAAGCAGAAATAATTCAGCTATTTAGTGAAAAGGTCTAAAATTAAAAACAGTATCTTATTATTTGAGGCAGAGAACAGTCATTACTATGTAGCCCAGGCTTGCTTTAAATTTACAATCTTCTTGCCTCAGCCTCCCAAGTGCTGGGATTACAGGCTCTGTCACCAGGCCTGGCTTTTAGTAACCAACATTGTAATGAGGTTTGCATTAGAAACAGAGGATACTGTGCTCTTAATTAATGTCAAGTGATGCAAATTCAATACAAATTTATATTCACCACTTCTTCAATAAGAAATGAGTCTTAGGTACTGAGAGAGATGAGTTTCTAAAACAAAAAAAAAGTATGTTTCTCATCATCGGTCTAAACCCTCTTAGGAGTAAATAGGCTTTTTTCCCCCCCTTTTTGGTCACGAGGCTTGAACTTGGGGCCTGGGCACTGTCCCTGAGCTCTTTTGCTCAAGGCTGGCATTCTATCATTTTGAACCACAGTATCATTTCCTGTTTTCTAGTGATTAATTGGAGATAAGAGTCCCATGGCCTTTCCTGCTTGCCTGGCTTTGAACCATGATCCTCAGATCTCAGCCTCCTGAGTAGCTAGGATTACAGCCTTCCTTCGTTCCTTCCTTCGTTCCTTCCTTCGTTCCTTCCTTCCTTCCTTCCTTCCTTCCTTCCTCCCTCCCTCCTTCCCTCCCTCCCTCCCTCCCTCCTTCCTTCCTTCCTTCCTTCTCTTTCTTCACTGGTATCATGCTTCCAATCCTTTCATTTGTATTATTATTATTATTACTATTATCATTGTTTTTTGAGATAAAGTCTCACTAGCTTGCCCTTAAACTTGTGATCCTCTTACTTCTACCTCCTGAGTAGCTGCAATTATAGGTCTGCACTACTACATCTGAATAGAAATGGTGGCTTGCAGCAAATAAATATCTCAATTCTAGGAAACAAACATATTTTTTTGTAATAGAGACCCATCTGCTATGACTTCTGAAGAGTTTGGAATGTGTCGCTCCTGGATGGACCCCCAATGTCTAATAGACCATGGATGTAAATAACACAAGAATCTTTAACCCTTCTGGTGGTTTAGGTCTTGATATTATTTGGTGAGGAATAAAAGCCATCTTGAAGCTGGGTGCTGCTTGTTTATACCTGTAATCCTACCTAATCAGGAAGCTGAGATATGGAAGATTTTGGTTCAAAGCAGCCCCAGGCAGAAAAAGCTTGTGGGACTTCATCTCCAATTAGCCAGAAAGATGCCAGGCTGGAAGTATGACTTAAGTCATGGAGTTCTAGCCATGAGCAAGCAAGCCAAGTGAGAGTGCAAGGTCCTGAGTTCAAGACCACACTTCCAACCTGTGCCACACACTATCTTCCTGACTGAGCAGTATGGAATTTCCTGAAGTTCTAGTGAGAGACCGGGAAAAGAGAAAAGGTGTGTGAGGGCGTCATATACATCTTCTCAAGCCCCAGTCAATACAAAGCAGTTCTTCTTAATCACATTTGTTTATGTCTTTATATTTATATAAGGTTGAAGGCCTGGCTCAAATGGTACAAAACTTGCCTAGAAAGTATAAAGTTCCAGGGTTGGGAAGGTGGCTCAGTGGTAGAGCGCTTGCCTTGCATGCATGAGGCCCTGGGTTCGATTCCTCAGCACCACATAAGCAGAAAAAAAAGCCGGAAGTGGCACTGTGGCTCAAGTGGTAGAGCGCTAGCCTTGAGCTGAAGAGCTGAGGGACAGCGCCCAGGCCCAGAGTTCAGGCCCCATGACCGGACCCCCCCCCCCAAAAAAAGAAAGTATAAAGTTCCAAGTAGGAATATTGTACTGACAAACAACAACAACACAAATTAAGACCCAAATAACAACAACAAGAACAACAATAGTGGCTAACTTCTGTAACCCTAGATATTTGGGAGACTAAGATGAGACCTTACTTTTTTTTTGTTGTTGGTTGTGGGGCTTGAACTCTGGGCCTGGGCACTGTCCCTGAGCTCTTCAGCTCAAGGCAAGTACTCTATTGTTTGAGCCACAGGACCACAATTCAAGGCCAGCAGCTTGGGAAGAGAAGTTCAATCCATAGCTGGGTGCAGTATCGTGTATCTGTTAGCCAAAACTACATGTGAGGCCAAGACTGAGCATCTGTGGTCCCAGAGACAGTGGGAAGCCTGGACTAGGTGGATCTACCATCAGAAGCATGCCCAGGTGGGAAGTGAAACCTTATCCTAAAAAGAATCAGTAGAAACTAGGGCTGAGGGCATGGCTCAGTAACATCAAATTTAGCCTAGCAAGCTCAAAGCCCTGAGTTCAAACTCCTATTACTATTGCCTTCCTTACAAATGTAGTCAGGACTAAACTATGCTTGAAAATCTTATAATTTTTTGGTCATTTATTTTGAGTGAGGAAATAAAAGTGATTTGTGAAAATGATACTGGGTGGCAAAGCATGATTTTCATGTGATAAAATTTTCTGATATTGACAATTCTATTTATACCACCAGATAAGTGGTTTGTGCCTAATGACTGTGATAGTGTCACAGTTATTTGTGAGAAAATGACTTGGAGGCAGCACTGTGAATATAGATTTTATTCAGTGTTTGATTCATAGTAGATATTTTAGTTTAGTTTTTTTTTTTTTTGGTCATGGGGCCTGAACTTGGACCTGGGTGATGTCCCTCAGCTCTTCAGCTCAAGGCTAGCGCTCTACCACTTGAGTCACAGCACCATTTCCAGAGTAGATATTTTAATAAATAATATTTTTGTGGAAGTATGAAAAATGTACTTGATTTTATATACATTATTCTTGATATATGTGATGTTTATAGATTAAGGAGTCATTACCATATAGGTGATGATTGAGTCTACAGAGGGAACTAAATTAAGGCCAGGAAAACATGTAAAATACAGAGGCTCCCAAGGACAGAATTGTAGGAACAGCAGGAGAAACTGCAAATGGCCTGGTTTCTAGTGGCTCACACCTGTAATCCCAGCTACTTAGGGGGCTGAGATCTGGGGATCACAGTTGGAAGCCAGTCTGAAGCAGGAAAGTTGTGAGAGTCTTATCTCCAGTCAACTCCCAAAAAGCCAGAAATGGAGCTGTGTCTCAAGTAGTAGAGTGCCCAATTTGAGCACAAAAGCTCAGGGATGGTATGCAGGCCTGGAGTTCAAATTCCAGTATTGTACTGTTCTTCTTCCACCAATAATAAATGTCACATTGAGTCGGTCACAGAAGTACAGGCCTAAAGAACCCAGAGACACCACTGCAGGATCATGTCTTATGATTATACTCTCACTACTTTGGGTAAACTTCCTCCCAGGCCATGTTAACATTTACCTACTGAGCTCTGTGGTGCCCTGTGCAGAGTTAGAAATTGAAGTTCCATTGTTATGGTAAGGTTATCAGTTTATCCATCTGTCATTCATCTTAGACACTGAGTGAAGACACGGGATATATCTATAATAATTGTTGTAACTAGACAGTGTCTGGGAAGCGGATTAATAGTTTATAAATAAATGAGCATGACTATTTATTCAATTTCATTTTATTTTGCTAGTCCTGGGGCTGGAATTCAGGGTTTGGGGGCTGTTTCTGAGCTTTTTCTTTTTCCTTTTTCCTCCTCAAGGCTAGTGTTCTATCACTTGAGTCACAGCTTCATTTCCACCATTTTGGTGGTCTCATAGACTTTCCTGCCCAAGTTGGCTTTGAGTCATGATCCTCAGATCTCAGCTTCCTGAGTAGCTATGATTACAGGTAGGAGCCACTGGCACCTGGCTCATGACTATTTATTTTTATTTTTTTATTTGCTGTGAGCATGACATTAAAGCTAGAAGAGAGACTGGCTGAAGCCAGTGAAGTTGAGGGAGGATTAGTATTTTATTTTCATTTTTAGGATGAGAAAAAAATTGCTAGACTGCATGGGCAGGAAAGCCCATGAAATTTTTATCTCCAATTAAGCACCAAAAAGAGCTAGAAGTGAAGCTACAGCTCAAAAGTGGTACAGTGTCAGCCTTGAGCAGAAAAGCGCAGGGACAGCGCCTAGTCTCTGAGTTCAAACACACACACACACACACACACACACACACACACACACACAGTCTTTATATCATGGTTAGGAACTGTCTCAGTACACTAACTAAAACTCAGATATTTCCTCACTGTTCTGTTGACGGCGGCCTTCACCTCCTTGTTTTTCAGGCTGTAGATGAGAGGATTCAGCATGGGTGTGACTGCGCTGTACTGCAGAGAAAAGAGCAAATTCAGGAAGCCACCAGAGGGGGGCATAAGATAGCAAAGAAAACCCGAACCAAAGAACAAGGTGACTGCGATGAGGTGGGAGGAGCATGTGGAGAAGGCTTTGCTTCTGCCTGTGGTGGTGCTGATCCTTAAGATGGTGGAGACAATACGGGCATAGGAGAAAAAGATTGGGATAAAGGTGCCAAGCCCATGCATTAAGCTGGCCCCCAGCAGGATATTAACAGCAACGGAGATATCTGAACAAGACAGAGGGAAGAGAGCAGGCAGCTCACAAGTGTAGTGATGGATGGTCCGGGCCTCACAGAAGTCCAGACTGACAGCCAAGAGTACGATGATGAGCGCATTGAGGGAAGCCACACCCCACGAGACTAGCACCAGCCGCATACACAGCCCACTGCTCATCACCTGGCCATAATGCAGTGGGTGACAGATGGCAGCATAGCGGTCATAGGCCATCACGGAGAGCAGGCAGGCTTCTGTTCCCGAAGAGAAGAAGACAAAGAAGACTTGAGTCAGGCAGCCCTCTACTGAGATGGTTTTCTTGTCAGACAGGAAGTCTTCTAGGAGCTTGGGCAGGGTGACTGAGGAGAAGCAGAGATCTATAAAAGAGAGATTACTCAAGAAGAAGTACATGGGGGTGTGGAGGTGGGAGTCAGCTTTGATCACCAGCAGCAGCATCAGGTTGCCCATCATGGTCAGGAGATAAATGGCCAGGAAGAGCACAAAGAGCAGAGCCTCGATGTGGGGGTCATCAGACAGCCCGGTGAAAATAAACTCAGTGATAGAGCTGTGGTTCTTCCAGGCCATTCGTGGATGATGTTTCCTTGGGATAAAATAGATTATTGATGATTTTCCTCCTTTTATTTGGTGGGTTGTAGGGCTTGAATTCAGGGCCCAGGTGCTGTCCCTAAGCTCTTCAGGCGAAGCTAGAGCTCTACCACTTTGAGCCACAGCTCTACTTCTGGTTTTCTGGTGGTTAATTAGAGATCAAAGTCTCACAGACTTTCCTGCTTGGGCTGACTTTGAACTATAATCTGCAGATTCTCAGCCTCCTGAGTAGCTAGGATTGCAGGTGTGGGCCACAAGCACTGTGCTTGATTTTCCTCATTCTTTATGGCATCAATGTGTCTCTCCTGCATTTTCTCTTGTTCTATTAGAACTTGGGAGGTATCAGTGCAAAGTTGCTCCTAGTATAGCTCGGAGTTTTATACTTTCACACTGGCAACATGCTTTTCCCAAAGTCTTTATGTATTTCAGACAATTCCCTCCTTCATAAATAGTATTGTAGGAACTCCCATATTTAGAGCCCTTGTCTCTACATAGTCTATATCCTACTTTTACTTTAAAATAAACTTGTTCTTTCTACTGAAAAAACAAAACAATTTTATCCGGGTTGTAGTGATTTATGCCTGAAATACTAGCTACTCAGGAGGCTGAGATGTGAGAATTTAAGTTGGAAGCCAGTCCAGGCAGGAAAGTCTGTGAGACTCTTATCCCCAATTAACTACCCAAAAGCTGGAAGTAGAGCTGTGGCTCTAGTGGTAGACTGCAGCCTTGAGCACAAAAACTTACAGATAGGCTCAGGTCCTGAGGTAAAGCCCCAGGACCTGTATACACATAACAAAAATTAAAAAAAAAGTTAGGTCCCTTACACATTTATTGAGTTTTTTATTGTATGTTCTAATGTCAGAAACCTATATTCTCATTAGTTTCAAAGACCATTAAATTACTTATATGCCATGGTGGTTCCAAATCTGTTTTCCTCTCTTTAGACTCCTTGTTCAAGATAATCCAAATACTCTTGGTAATAAATAATGCAATTTGTATATTTTTTCTATGCAGAACATTTTCTCACTGTCTTTGATTATTCTTATAGAAATTCTATGAAGCATTTCAGCCAACCCTTTTTTGTTTACTTGTAGGGCTGAGGATCGAACTGAGAATCTTAAATGTGCTAGTCAAAACACACTACCACTGAGTTATAACCATACTTCCAGGAAGTATTTCAGGTCTGAAATTTATTCCCAGTTTATTACTTAGAGATCTGTTTATGACAATGTGTATGATTTGATGCCATGTTTACATCAAATAGAAGAATCGGGAAATAATTCCACTGTTTTCCACTAATTGTCAGGTGAATAATTTAGGTTTGTTATATAGGAATAAAGATCAATTTTTCTCCCTTCAGTCATTCTTTCTTTTTTTAGTTAGAGAAAGATTTACTTATTAGTAGTATTTTTAATCTTTGGTCACATTGGCTTCATTCAAATTTTTTTATCTCATATTCCAATATTCAAAATTCTCGTGAAACTCTCAGCCTCAAGTATAGCTTACATTCTGATTCTAGTAATAAATCTTAACAGCCCAAGCTGATGACCATCCCAGACCCAGATCTAGAGTACCTGTGAAGTTGAACACAGCAATGTCCTCTTTAGAGTGACTTCAGCTAGATCCAGGGATAAACTTCTGTAGCAATTATTTTGGAAGACTCTGTATGGATAATTTGTAAGCACAGTCGAAAGCAAACATTGAGTTTGGGTTCCACGCAAGCAAAGTGAGACAATAAATCTATTTTCTTAAAGGATGTGAGCATTTTACGTTTTTGTCAAGCTAAGTCTGCTGAGGATTACTTCTGGTCTTCCATTCCTACTCACCAGGATACTCTGACCACACAGTCTCAGGGAGCATGCAGCTTTGCTAAAGGACAGTTTAGCATTTCTTTTCTTTCTTTTTTAATTAGCATATACTAATTGTACAAGGGGTTCAATTGTGATATAATATGCTTTGAACCAATTCGCCCTTCAATTATTCTTCCATATCCCTCCTTCCTATAGTGTAGCTTTTACATTTCCTTCCTTCCTTCCCTCTTTCCTTCCTTCCTTCCTTCCTTTCAACATTTCTTTCTTTTATTCTTTCTTTCATTTGTTCTTTTTCTCTTTCATCTCTTTTTATTTCTTCTTCCTTTCCTTGCTTCTTTCATTTTCTTTCTCTCTCATTTCCTTCCTTCCTCCTTCTCCCTCCCTCTCCTCCTTCCTTCCTTCCTCTCCCTTCTCTCTTTCCTTCCTTACTCCCTCCCTCCCTCTCTCACCCCCTCCTCTCATTCTTTGTGTGCCAGTACTGTGGTTTGAACTCACAGTCTTGTTCCCTTGCTTGGCTTTTTGATTCAAGGCTGGCATTCTACCACTTGAGCCATAGTTCCACTTCTGGCTTTCAGGGGGTTAACTGGAGTCAAGAGTCTCATAGACTTTCCTGCCCAGACTGGCTTTAAGCCTTAATCTTCAGATCTCAGCCTACTGAATAGCTAGGATTACAGATATGAACCACCAGTACCTGGCCATATATATGTATATATGTAAATATATATTATTTTTTATTATATATATATTTCCTTACATGCTGACACCCATTTTTTTTTGTTTTTTTTCTTTGTTGTTTTTGCCTTTTGTTTTTGTTTTTTTGTTGGTCATGGGGCTTGAACTCTGGGCTTGGGCGCTGTCCCTAAGCTCTTCAGCTCAAGGCGAGCTCTCTACCGCTTGAGCCACAGCGCCACTTCTGGTTTTCTAGTGGTTTATTGGAGATAAGAGTCTCACAGACTTTCCTGCCAGGGCTGGCTTTGAACCTCGATCCTCAGATCTCAGCCTCCTGAGTAGCTAGGATTACAGGTGTGAGCCACCACCACCCGGCAAGCACCCATGCTTTATATGGATGAAGAGCTGCAGCTAGTTGTAACCTATGATCTCAAGGATATCACAAAGAAAGGACAGCATCCTCCATAATCCTAAACAGCATCTCAGATTGATTCCAGGCATTAAAGAAAGACCAAGGATAATATATTCTAATTTATAGGTCACAAATTCTAACTAGAAAAGTCTTAATTTTAATTTACTATTTAGAAATGAAGGAACACATTTACTTTCATGCTGACTCCTGAGAGACTGATGTCAGAATTATAACTGAGAAAAAAATGAAATAAAGCACATTATAAAGAGGATTCTTATAAGTGCCTTATATATGCCTTGCCCATATTGTTTATAGAAAGATATATTTGGAGTGAATAAATGAATCATGACTTGAGGCATTTGAAGACTGGGTTGTTAAAAATGGAGACCCTAAGGTGCAGGAGGACGAATTTGAATTTGGGGGAAGGAAATGGCCTCCTGGCACATACTAAATTCCTATGAAATAAACATCCTCTTCCTCTGTCCAATTCCAACTTATTTTCTTTAATCTTCTTTTCATGACGTGTGCACATGCACATACACACACAAGTGCACATGCGCGAATGTGCACGCTGGCTTGAACCACAGCTCCACTTACTGCTTTTTTCAGTAATTAATTAGAGATAAGAGTATGATGGACTTTCTTTCCCCAATTTGGCTTTGGACTTTGACCTTCAGAACTCAGCCTCCTGAGTAGTTAGGAATATAGATATGAGCCACCAGCTCCTGGCAATTCCAAAATCTTTTTATATAGCCAGGGAAGATGGGGATTGTCGATAACTACTGGCAGAATCATAGGTTCTGCCACTAGTTATTATATCTATCTATGGTATTCTCACCTCCTTCAGGTCTCAGCTTTCTGCAATTTGAAGCTTGAAAAGATGTATGCCAGGCTTTAACATGCCCCCATTGCTAGGCATGAGAAGATATCCAAAGCAGCTGGGTCAAATACAAAACATTTGGAAAGAGAGACATCAGGGGCTCATCCAAGGAAGGAGAAGTGGTCTGCCAAGGATCAAGAAGTTTCCATCTGCAGCTCAGAGAAAATGATGAATAGAGTAAGAGCTTCAGGATCCAGGATTAATGGAGTGAATCATGACGTTCCAGGGGGTGAGGGCATAGGAGAGGATTATCAGCAAAATCAAAAGACATAAAGCCAAGTGTCTGTGGCCATGCTTATTATCCTATCTACTCTGGAAGATGAGATCTGAGGATTGTGGTTCAAAGCCAGCAGGAAAAGTCTGTGAGACTCTATCTTCAATTAAGCACCCAAAAGCTGGAAGTGGAGTGTAGATCAAGCAGTAGTGTCAGCCTTGAGTAAATAAAGCTAAGGGACAGTTCAAGCCTCAGTACACACACACACACACACACACACACACACACACACACACACACACACACACACACACACACGGAGTACCACCAAGAAAGAAAAATAGGAGGAGGAATATCAGCTATTGGGAAAGATATTATCATGATTCTGGATTTTCCTGAAAGCAGCTCCCTCACGTTCGGGCTCTCTCTTTCAAGTAGCTATATCAAAGGTAAAATCTCCCTATAAGAGGACCTTTGTCACAAGAGTGTTACTCTGGGAGAAGATAGTTTGTTTTTCTGGAGTAAATAATCCTGGAGTGAGTGGGGTGCTAGTGGATCATGCCTGTAATCCCATCCATTCAGGGGGCTGAGATTTGAGAACTACTGTTCAAAGCCAGTCCCGGAAGGAATGTTCATGAGAGTCTGATCTCCAATTAACCAGCAGAAAGATGGCAGTTTAAGTGTGGCTCAAGTGGTAGAGTATAAGCCTTGAGGAAAAAAGCTAGACAGAGCTCAAGCCTTTAGTTCAAGCATTAGTACTGGCATGTGCGCACACTCACACAATAATGCTGGAGTAAAGAGTAGAGGGATATCATTCTGTAAAGCAGGATGCTATAAAGGAAAAAAAGACTAGTTTCTCTCTTAAAAAAGCTCATATTCTGACCTGATCTGTTTCTTTAAAACTTCATAACAAGGACTCAGATGCAGTAAATGATAGTCTCTTTGCTTTGAATAGGATTTTAAGAATGTTACAGGAAGGGGGAACTCTCTAAG